AACACTTTCACCACACTCACACATTATCATGCTTTGCAGAGGTGCTCAGAATACAACAGTTTAGAAGCATATATGTATAGAGATACACAACACATCCCTCCAAACTGCCAATATCCCAAACCCCTCCTTTAAAGTGCAGGCATTGTACTTCCCATTTCCAGGACTCAAGTCCGACTATATGAAAATAACCGGTTTCCCTGAATCCCTTCACTAAATATTACCCTGCTCACACTTGACCTATTAGTTTACAGGATTATATAAATCCAGGTATATGTGATTGATAAGCATGTCAGATATGTATACTGTATACACAATGGCACATTGGTTGTTATTGTCATTTGACAATGCCAGCAATGCTGTAAATCTCTGAAGATAATTTAAGAGCTTTGTTTTCTTTTTACATAAAGATATGAAGGGCAAGACACATCTACAGTGCTTTATATTTGAGGAAAGAAAAGAAGAAATACATTTGAGACACTTACATTAGTCTGAGGGTAATCAATGTCTTTTACTGTGAGCCGGTTGAGAGGCATGAAGGTAACTTCACCAGGCAACTTTTGCTTGTTCATTTCCTTCAGTATTTGAGTGCCAATTTTGTCTGATTCTACAATATGATGGAAGAGCCTGAAATAGCAAATATAAATTTGAATATATCTTTAACATGATTACCTAATGACATTCTCTAAAAGAAAAGCTACTTGAAGTTCTTCAGTGATTATACAAGGAAGGATAACATGTACCCACTCCAGCATGTTATGTTTATGTCCAATTCATTCTCCTGAAGAAATGCCTCACTCTCTTACAATTTATCTCGATGTACCCTCCACTGTCTTTCAGTTTACCTATTTTTCACAACAATGATTGGAAACAATCAATATAGGGCGAGCTAAAGAAGGAAACACACTCACCATCACTTGCTGGTATGGCAGAAAAGTCCTTGAAATCTGTCATAGGTGTATTACAGGATGATTGAAGTGTATATATTTTTTTTTAACACTGACTGTCTCCCACTGAGGCAGGATGATCCAAAAAAAGAATAAATGCAAGTTTTATCTTCTTTTTACATTTAGAAATTGATGGAAGAGAAGAGGTTACTAGCCCTTGTGCCAGCATTTTAATCACATTTTTTATACACATGCAAAGCATTTTTTTTTTTTTTTTTTTCAACAAGTCAGCCGTCTCCCACCGAGGCAGGGTGACCCAAAAAAGAAAGAAAATCCCCAAAAAGAAAATACTTTCATCATCATTCAACACTTTCACCACACTCGCACATTATCACTGTTTTTGCAGAGGTGCTCAGAATACAACAGTCTAGAAGCATACACATATAAAGATACACAACATATCCCTCCAAACTGCCAATATCCCAAACCCCTCCTTTAAAGTGCAGGCATTGTACTTCCCATTTCCAGGACTCAAGTCCGTATAAAAAAATAATAATAAAAAAGGCCTACTTACTTGTTGCCTGCAGTAACTTCAACAGCAGTATAGATGGATCGCTCACACTCAAAGTTCTCGATGAGAAGACCATAATACTGTGTAGCAATTTCTCCCAGGTGACCACCACGATCTCGGAAAGTATCCAACACCTTCTGAACACTGTCACGACCATTTAAGATGGGCTGAAATAAAACAGATAGAGTTTGTATTACACTGGGCATTTCCCTCAAAGGCAGGAAAAGAAGACACATCACCACCATTCAATCAAATCCTGCCTTGTCATAAAGGCAAGGCAGTATTTGTTGTGTAAGAATGTCACTGTTACAGTGCCTTCATTTATGTTGGGGGTGCCAAATTCTGAATTTGAGACGAGAGAATGGCTCTGCATAGTGGGTACATACAGCCCCCCCCCCCCAAAAAAAAAAAAACCTGTCCCACTTGCAGTTTAAATCTGCACTACAGACAAATTATCCAAAATATTTTACTGTACTGGCAATTCAAAACCTTTGATTTTCCATATACATAACTTATTAAGAGTACCAATTCACTGGTACAAATGTTTGAGGATTTTTACTGATTTCTTCAATAGTTTCTAAAAGAAAATGAGTTGGGGTGAACCTCCCAAACATGGACAAATCTGCCAGGGAGCCAAGCAGCTGCAGTAGATAATAAAACCTGATATCCTGATTCAGACTTTTCATACTGCAGTGATTTTTTCTTCCAAATTCAGGTTTTCAAGCCCAGAATTCAATTATCACTAATAAAGTCATTGTGCATCATTAACCCTTTCACTATCCCAATCCCCAAAATTAAAAAAGTATGAAGTTCTATGGAAAACTTACAGAATTATGCCAGTGCATAATTTGGGCACAATTTATCCTAGGCAATTTTTCCAACTTTGAATTCATAATCAAACAAAAATAAAAGATTTACTACATTTTCCAGATAAAATATAACCAGAAATGCCTGGTCATGGTTTATGGTATCTCAGTAACTGAATGAGACCTATTAACCCTTCCAGGGTCGAGATGCCCTCTCCTAAACTTGTTCTCAGGGTCGAAATTTTTTTTTGGAAAAAAAAAAAAAAAAAAAAAAAAAACCTATGAAATGCTAGAGAATCTTTTCCTAATCATAATGACACCAAAATTATGAAATTTGATAGAAAACTTACGGAATTATGCTCTTGCGAAGTTAGCGGTCTTGCTGATGTTTACGCATCGGCGATTTCGCCAACTTTGAACCCTATTTTTGGCCAATTCCTCTGTACTACTCGACAAAAATCATATTTCGCTAGAACTCCATTTTTTTTTTTTTATCGAATGAGTACAAGAAACCACCATTTACCAATTTCAACTATCCAATAAAGTGGTTAGAAATTGGCAATTTTGCCAATTTCACACAAATTTCAGATGATGCCAATTTCCAAATAAGGTCCAGAATAAACAAGACAGACATTCCTGGCATTAAAATAACAAGTTCTCTGTTCGTTAGTAACGTCCCCAAGTCCCTCTTATATTTCTTTTGCTTTCCCCTTTGAATTTTTATTCTTACAAAAAATATAAAACTTACTGTTATGCAGACTTCTTTATTAGTGTAGAAATGGTATAAATAATATCAGCGCACTTGTGAAAGGATATTAAACTCACCAGCTGACGTGTATTGGACGCTTGGCATGATTTGTTTACTTTTGAACTTTGGTAAAAATCGAACATTTCTGCTATTTTGAGCTCAATTTCAAGGTATTTTTCGTTGTGAAACCAGTCAAAATCATCTCAATTTCTGTAATATGTCTTCCATTCTTTAAAATGAGACCAGGAAAACTAGAATACAACCATAAATGCCATACGAAAATACAGTGCAAAGTCGCTGTTTTAATCCAAAAACACGGTCAAAGCTTTTTTTTTCTCATTACACACTGTGTGTTGCAGGATTTTTTTTATACTGCGCACACTGACCACAGACCCATTCTTTAATATGTAGGCCTACCAGCTTTCTCTCACTAGATTTGAAGGCACTAGAATTTAGGCATTCTAGTACGTCAATAACTCTGGTGCGTAAGCCATACTAGTATGTTGAAAACCCTTAAAGGGTTAAAAAGTCATAAAACAGACTACGTTTATGGGGAGGCCTTGCCCGCCCTCAAGAAAACAGGCAAAAATATAATATTTCCACTACTTTGAGCCCAATTTCAAGCTGCTCTTAGTCCTGAAGCCAACCAAATTCATCTTTGTTTCAGTAGCATGTCTTCCATTCTATCAACTGATACCAACAAACTGCCAATAAAATGATAAAAACCATCCTAGCAAACACCTAAGTTATTATTTTAAACCTAACAGTCACACTACACATACATGTACAAGCATATATATACATACCCCTCTGGATTTTCTTCTATTTTCCTTCTAGTTCTTATTCTTGTTTATTTCCTCTTATCTCCATGGGGAAGTGGAACAGAATTCTTCCTCCGTAAGCCATGCGTGTTGTACGAGGCGACTAAAATGCCAGGAGCAAGGGCCTAGTAACCCCTTCTCCTGTATAAATTACTAAATTTAAAACGAGAAACTTTCGTTTTTCTTTTTGGGCCACCCTGCCTTGGTGGGATACGGCTGGTTTGTTGAGAAAAAAAAAATGTTATCTTCATTATAGAATAATAAGAAAATATAACCTTTATATTATAATAATAAGGTAAAAGGACCCCAATGGAAATAAGTCACTCTGTCCGACTTTTTTGGGTTATCCCAGGTTCTCTACACGTATGCTGCATTTGTGTATACCTGAATAAACTTACTTATGTAACTCTACATGATGGCCATTGAAAGGATTAAAGAGGAAAAAAATGTTTAGAATTTTGAATCTCTTGATTTTTTATTACTTGCAATAATAAAGTGAACTCATTTTGGAAAACTGCAGTGTACTTTATCACTTGCACCTTGGATTTTGCTACCTGGTGGATTTAGCTCACATTTTTTGAAGTCACCCCAGCTCATTTTTCTTTAGAAACCACTGAAGATATCAGTAAACTGGTCATACAATAAACATTTTCTTTTACTATAAGTTGGAGGCTTACCTTGCCAGCCATAGAACGTAAGGACTGGTCTGCCCTTGACAACTCCTCCTTAAGGGAGCTAACATTTTGCTGCAGATTGTTCTCCTTACGCCAGTGTTCACTACATGAAAACAAAACAAATCTTTTAAACAGTGAATATTCATTTATATAACACTCTCACTAAACAAAGTTCAATGATATGACTCAAGGGCAAAATATAGACTGTACTTAAATATATAAACTTTCTATGTACTGTAATTACAAAATTGACCGAGTAAGTAATTTAAAAATTATTCTATATAAACAGGCAAAACCATTAACATTTAAGCTTAAATAAAATTATAGCCAAATTTTACAATGTAACATGAAGCTAAACACACACTAATGTTTACACACGCACACAAAAGAACTAAAGCAGAGCAGCTACTCAGTACTAGTACACAATCAAAACTGTTACAAAAGGAGCACAAATCATTACTACATAAAAAGTACACATACACATACACACACACAACAATAACCGAGGTAGGCAAAAAATTTAAGGGCATCAAGACTGAAGACCAGTAATAAGAATAAATTTGTATGAACTAATGCACGCTTTGCAACAATGTAAAAACTAATAAAAACACAAATAAGAAAATGAACATGACAATCAGGACACTTAAATTACAAGGAAAGTATATATTTAAAGGTACGATTGATATAGTGAACAGATATAAATAATAAACCTTATGATAAAAGACAAATTCTGTTTTTCGGCGTCCTTTTGAAAAAAGTAAGTTCGATACTTCTTAACCTGTTCACACAGCTCCGTGGCCTCGTTAGATGCTTCCTAGGGAAAGGCAGAGTATCCAGGATATGAAGATATTAAAACAAAATAAATACATAAACTTCCTGCATTGAAAAAAAACAGACCTGATAAACAGTATCACTCAGAAGCAACTGGAAACGTGCAAAAGCTACAACACACTTGCATACACAAACACTCTTGAATTTGAAATGCACTTGTACACTAAATGCACAAAAGGAAAAAATTACGTTATACATGTGTATAATAAATCTTGTCAGAAAATTTCTATGTGAATAAGAAACAGCTGTGAGGATTTATAGTGAGAAAGTCAGGAGAGTAATGTACTTGGCATGACTTTAAAATGTGGCGAGATGCTAGCTGAGGATTTAAAGGTATTTGAATGGAGATAGGATTTCAACTTATTAAACATTGATGATGCAAGGTAAGCAATTACATGCATGGGAGAGGGAGGAATAGGATCTATTGGGAGGGAAAAACCAGAGGTGAGTGAGGTATGTGGAAAAGCTTTCCAGCTAATAATTTAGTTACAGGTTGATAAGCAAGACACATGCAACAGTTTGGTATCTTTATTATTGAAACATTTCCCCTACACAGTAAGCTTCTTCAAATAGAGGCAGCTGGTGTAGCAGTGAAATTATGATGTAATAAGGCCATCAACCGTCGAGAAAAAGTATTCAAGGTCAGTCCCTCAACCTGGACAAGTGTTCAGCTACATGGTTGGAATGATTACATCATCTTAATTCCATTACTACAACTGCTACCTCTGTACAGTAGGGCCCCGCTTATACTGCAGGTTAGGTTCCAGGCTACCGCCATAAAATGAATTACCCTTTTTTCCACTTTTAAATGCATATAAATATCTGATAACACATTTATACTATCTAATATTAAATTAGCAATAGAACTAGGCCTAAAAAAAGTAAAATGCATATACAATACACTCATTACTTACCTTAAAATGTTTTTGGCCTTAATGTAGGGTGAGAGTTGAGTAGTATTTATTGTAGAAAGTCAGGAGATAAAACCAGCCTCTGGAAGCTTTGAATTTATCTTCTGCAGTCTCCTCACTTCTCTCAGCCGTCGCAGAATTGAAGAGACTTAGAGCCTCAGCAACAAAAATGGGTCGACTTTTTATTTGTCGACTGATTACGTTCAATTGTGGTGTACTAACAGAAGCTTATATTGACCATGATTTGATGTTCACTTGTGGTGTACTAACAGAAGCTTATATCGACCATGATTTGATGAAGTGCCAGAAAGATGCGCCGAAAAGCAAAATTTACGAAATATTACATTTGGCAGGGTACAGGGCCAAAGTGGTAGTACTTAGAAAAGTGGTTTTGACACTTCTAATTCCATCCTCCCTCATTCCTAAGTTTGTAATAAACCTTATCTTCATTCTCCCCCCCTCCCCAAAAAAAAACATTAGTTTCTAAGTTTCATGACATTTAGGAAGATATCGCTCTTGTTTACCCAAGCAAACCCGAAAATATTTGGGATACATCAAAAATCGGACCAAGAGCACGTAGAGCAATCATTCTATGTCTGTTGTGAAAATCAGGTCAATTCATTCATAAATATTGGCTCCATGGCCCCAAATAGGTAAATAACTTACTTCTGAGATATAGGCCAATTCACATGCCTACCCAGGTACACGGGGAACCCCCCCCCCCCCCCGGAAAAATTTGCTTTTTTTTTTACTGTTTCCGTAACCTTTGAGTGTTTATTACAGTTAGCCATCGTCAACCTCCGTTTTCTCTTATTATAGTGACTAGATGCTGGGTATATGGCCTTGAGATGGCACTGGTCCATAAAGTTCCTTTCCTCTCAGGTGGCATATTATGCCACGGGTTCAAATCCTGCCCGTGGTATGGTATGCTATATGTTATTTGTTCTGGCGTACTTTTTGTTTCTTTGCTATTATTATATTACCTTATGTCATATTAGATCAATGTGATAGGTAAATAAGCTTTATAATTGATATTAACGTGAGTATAGAATATTTTGTTGGCTGGGGTATGTCTGCCATGTCAGCACTTATTCCCAGAGGATGTTCTTGATTGGTTTCCAGACCATATTAACTCCGCCCACTCCACCTTGATCTCAAATGGTGAATTTGTATTATATTTGATGTAAAGATATAAAAAAAATTTGTATTTTTTTTTTTTATTTTTTTCTTACTCTGCCCGCCGCATGTGTGCAGTTCCCCTTAGGGCCTTGACCTGAACAATGGCTCGGCTTAAAGACACATTGTGACTAGTTTGATCTTCAATCCACACCAGTAGCAAGTTTTTCCACGTTAACAATAAGGTTATCATGTTTTCTTACAACCCTAGTGTTCACTGGAGTAGCACTTTTAATTTCCCACAACACTTTCTCCTTAGGTGCCGTCGTAACACAAAAATGATACATACATGTATAACATATGTAATAACTCGAGAACACTTGAAACTTTGGAAAGTTTCTAGACATAACTGAGAGATGCAGAGTGCTCATGGCAACACACCCATTTCACTTGTAGAAAAACATTATTCTTAAAATTATAAAACACCGAGGAGAGGATGCTCCACAAATGTGTATATGGTGTCAGTCTTTTGGGTGGGTGGTTGGATTTACAAGTATTTCAGAAGTGCCCACTGGCCGTTGATGTGTGTTAATCTGGTATTATGTATGCGTTTGTGAAGCGTTTTCCCCACAATACAAACACCTTACAATGTGTACAAGTTGTCTTCACGCTGATGCAGTAGAATACTTAACAGCAATGCTCCCATTTTTAGAGCAAATGACGCTATGAATGAAGGCATACGAAAGGAATATTTTTCTACAGTTACCCCCAGTAATACTATACGCAGTTTCTCTGGTGGTGGTGTACTAGAGAGAACGTGTTAATAGTAATCAGTCTTGTCCACGCCTTTATGCCCGCCCAGCTACCGCACCTCACACTTATGTTAATTTGTTCTAGTATGGTTGTCTGTATTATGTTTATATGATATGTAGTGTTTCTTATATAATTTTGAAAAAAAAATTGAAATATCTATAATAAAGTTACATATGACATTTAAAACACCCCAGCAGTTTTTATTATTATGTTTATGTCATTACACCTTCAAATACTGATTTTAATGTACCTGCATGCCAGCAGTGTGCAAGTTTATTTAGGTACAGGTACACATAAGTACAATTAGTATCTCAGTCATAGACGTACCTTGCTCACTGCTTTTAATCATTTATAAATTTGCACTTAAAGTACCTTACGACTCCTCTTTTTATCACAGCTACTCTTAGATGTCACTAACATTAAAAGAGTATATATAAAATACGCAATAACTTTAAAACACTTGAAACGTTGGAAAGCTTCCAGACATAATCGAGAGAGATGCAGAGCTCATGAAGGATGTCAAGAGTGTGGTACGTGGACACCATAATAGCGAATCAGGACCTGGGTCATTCCATGTCAAGTGGACCAGGGGTCCTCACCTGACCATCTCCAATTTCAATAAAATTTTACATGAAGGTTGGCATATATGTCATACTAACTCTGGGAAAATTTTAGTTCACGATATGCAATAGTAGAGTGGAGGCAGGTGAAAATTTCACCAACCTGCAGCAAACAATCAGCAACGTACAAGTTATTGCTGTTGCAGATCTAGAAGAGTAAAACTTGTGTAAGTAGACATGCTCATACAACTTTTGGAGCCAACTTCAAAAATTCAGTCCTAAAACTTACAGGCTTTTACTTTTTTCACAGTATGAAGCCAAGGTAGGGAGAAAAAAAAAAAATCTGTTGCATAAAACTGAATCTTGAATTCAGCTGCTCATATCTCTAAAGGAAAACATTATTGTAGCCAGCTACCCAAGTGGACATCGTCACAATCCTAAAATATCAGACCCCAAATATTTTTAGTTCCTGTGTTAATGGTACCTAAAAATGCACTTAGTGAATTTTAGGCCATTTTTGAAGACCAATAGCAAAAGACAACACAAGTTGTCAAAAAAGTGTTGACAACTGCAATGGCAGATTTTGACCTTACTGGTTTTTGACAGAAACTACACAGTGCTTCATGTTTTAAAAGAAAAAAAATCCTGTTACATACTGGCCCTTAAATTTCTGGGTCATTTCAAAACCATTCACTAACCAGCTATCTCTTATAACTTGTAGTTTTATGAATACACAAATAAAATTCTCATAATTAAATTATCACTATCATGCAACATGCCACTAACCACCACTACCCATTTACTGAAATTAAATGTGTTCTGCATTTTATTAAGCTCTTCTCAAACACAGTATTACAGAAACTTAAAGAAAAAACATTTATTTCATTGATGGGTAAAGCACATGAAAGATTAACTGGAAACTGTTTAGCCAACACAGTTAACATTAAGCATAATTAATGCAACAGTAACAGGCACTGACAAATTCATAACATAAGGCATCATCTGCAGTGAAAAAAGTTTAAAGCCATTTTCATATAAGATAGACAAATAGCCACTGAGGAATTGAAACCCATTACATTTCTTGCCAAGTAAGCAAAGCAACAAGAGTGCAACAGATAGCAACAAGCTCGTGCATAATATCACCACTATTAGACATCTTACTTTCTCTCACTCTGTAACTGGTCTTTTCTCTTCTTCATTTCATAAAAAACTTTGTTGTGCTCATCAATACTCTGTCTGTAGTTTTCTGTGTCTGTGGATAGCTCCTGTAATAAGTAATAATAAATTACTGAACATCAAAGCCTTATGTAACTCTTTATAATAACTACATGCTAAATACATCTTCCATACACACACACACAAAATAAATAATTTTTTTTTAAAACATCAGCTGTTTCCCACTGAGGCAGGGTGACCTAAAAAGAAAAAAACTTTCATCATCATTCAACACTTTCACCATCATTCATACATAATCACTGTCTTTGCAGAGGTGCTCAGGTACGACAGTTTAGATGTCACTCCAAACAGCAAATATCCCGAACCCTTACTTTTTAAGTGCAGCCATTGTACTTCCCACCTCCAGGACTCAAATCTGGATAACCAGTTCTCCTGAATCCCTTCATGAAATATTACCACATTCACACTCACACAGCTCGTCAAGTCTCAAAAAAATCATTCATCTCCACTCACTGCTAACATGCTCACACAGATGCACTCACGCACGCACACGGATTTGGTAATGGAGAAAAAATCAATAACTACCAACCCAAAAAATTGTAAATTCTTTATTGGATTATCTGAATATCATAATCCCAAACAAATTAATCCACATAATATCTAAAAATTTACACACTATCTGCTGATCTTTTTAATGCTTATAGTATAAACACAACAATATTAACCAATCACTTATGGAGAGCTTGGAACCTTATTTTCATGGAAGAAAAGCATTCATTATCAGTATCTTATAATAAAATTTGGCAGATGATGATCTATCAATATAGTTTCAACCTCACAAAATATCGGATTTAAACTAATCAGTGCATTACCGTGCACAGTTCTAAGTCCCTTTCATCCACACATACTTATCCAATTAGAAATAATTGATTCTTGCCACTAATGCTACTCTGAAAATAACTATGTTAACGTTTTACAAATTAGTATATACAAGCCTTTCAATACACTCCAGAGCATGAGTAAAAATGGAAACTTACTCAGCTCTACACAAGTGTACACCAGGATCCCTCCCTCTCTTCCTAAAAGAGCCTCTCTAGCCTTGCAACACCTCCGTTAAACTATTTACATTATATAACTAAAAGCTATATTCTATTATCAACGAGAAGGGAAACAGCAGCTGAAGAGCTCAAGGAAAAAAAAAAAAAAAAGTTATTTTAACAATTTCATAAATCAATTACTTTCCCCTATGTTTTTGAACAATCTTAATTTATTTATTAAAATGTCAAGTGCTGCACTACAATCAAAGCATTTTTTTAGTGCATTAACTGCATTAATGGGGAGAGAATACTAAACAGTTATGGATCATACAATACCTGGATTATTATTATTATAATCAAAAAAGAAGCGCTAAGCCACAAGGACTATACAGCTACAATACCTGGAGAAATGGGAGGCATTCAGGTTTGAACCAAAGGGCAGATCTTGTTTCTTGGATCAAGAGCCCCTCACCAGCATCAATGAACCTCCTTTGAGGGATTTTTCTAACAGCTCTCAGCCACCAGTCCCATTATAACTTATAGAGATCATTTAACATTTTTCATCCAGTAAACATGCATCTCTTCCTCCTGGCATTCCTCTAACATTGCTTGCAGCTATTACTCACATACCCAAAGAAACTGAAACCATCACTCAATTTTTCAATATCATATTTGCAATTCACCCCCTCTAATTTTTCTCTTAATTGCTATCTTGAAAATTACACTTTACTCTTTCAGTGGCCACCACGAAGATCTACGTTACTGATGGCTAGGTTCCTCACACAGATCTACGTTTTGAGCAAAACTCCTTCAGATAAGCTGCGAGCGGTAAATTTGGCCTAGATACAAGAGAATGGGTCTATGCAGTGTGTGCACAGTATATATATATAAAAAAAAAAAAAACTGCCTCACATGGTGCATGATGGGAAAAGTAAAACTGACCTTGGGTTTCATTCACAATAATGACTTTGAAGTTTTTCTAGGGTGGTTTTTATGGGTTTATTACCTGTTTCTTGGTATTAATTGATGGCAAGCAAGATGTACTACTGACAGAGATATTTATCAATTTTCCTGAGGACGGGTAAGGCTTCCCTACTTCACCTGCTCTGTTTTATGGGTTTTTAACCATTTCAGGTCCAGACTCCCAGTTTGAAACTTATCCACAAGGTCCAAAAATATTCATTTTTTTATTTTTTTTTTCTTATGAAATTGAAGAATCTTTTTCTAGAGATAAAACAAAAAGTACAAAATTTGATGGAAAATTGACAAAATTATGCTATCGTAAATTTTGCTGTGTTAGCAATATTTACACAATGTTGATTTTGCCTACTTTGAGTCCTATTTTAGGCCAATTACACTGTTCCACTTAACCAAATTCTTAACTATTTCGCTAGCATGTCTTCTATTTTATCGAATGAGCACAAGAAACTGCCCAATCAACTATTTAACCCTTAAACTGTCCAAACGCTGATCTACGCTCACGTGCATAGTGCTCCAAACATAAATCTACCTTTTTTTACATTTGAAAGCATGTAAAATAAAACGTTGATCTACATTCGGAGCGCTACGCATGTGAACGTAGATCTACGTTTGGACAGTTTAACCCTTTGACTGTTTCGGTCATATATATACGTCTTACGAGCCAATATAAGAGCGTAATATAAGAGGGCCTAGAGACGTGACTAAGGAACAGAAAATATTTTTTAGTGCCAGGAATGTCTATATTGTTTATTCCGGACTTTAAATTGGCAATTTTTTAAATGTGTGTTAAACTGGCCAAATTACCTATTTCTGATCTATTTATTGGATAGCTGAAACAGGTAAATGGGTGGTTTCTTGTACTTAATTGATAGAAGAAATACTAGCAAAACAGCTGAGTTTGGAAAACTGGAACAAAGGAACTGCCTGAAAACAGGGCTCAGTGTGGGCAAATTCGCTAATGCGTAAATATCGCTGAGGCTGCTAACTTTGAGAGCATAATTCCATAAGTTTTCCATCAAATTTTGTACAATTGGTTTCATTACCTTCAGAAAAAGACTCTCTATCATTTCACAATATTTTTTTTTTTTAAATTCTTCGACCATGAGAGCAGCTCTCAGATCAGAGTTTCCGACCCTGAAAGGGTTAAATGTAGACTGCGCAATATTAATTTCGGGGGGTCGGGGGGGGGGGGGTCGGGTCTGGACAGTGAAACGGTTAATACAACAGTGGTCCTAACTTGTATACAAGTCCTCACTTCAAATAGGCATAAAATTTAACTGTAAACAAAACCCTTTTCTTTCAATTTGCATAAAAGAATTGCATTTGTCTTACATTCTTTAAACTGTAAAGTAAAAGGACACAAGTGCAACTAATGTAACATTTTATTGTGGCAACGTTTCACTCTCCAGGGACTTTGTCATGCCATTACAAACAATACATGGACACAGAGGGTATATATAGGCTTAGTGAGGTGTAATACTAGTGGTAGTAGTGACACGATAGTAATATTACACCTCACTCTAAGTCAATATATACCCTCTGTGTCCATGTATTGTTTGTAATGGCTTGACAAAGCTCCTGGAGAGCGAAACATTGCCATAATAAAATGTCACATGTCACTTGTGTCCTTTTACTTTACATATTGTCAGTAATTCTATCAACATATATACATTCTTTAAACTGCCGAGTCTAATTCAATTCTTCATTATGAAATCCCTAAAATAATAGACCTGACATTGTCATATCTTCTCATGTACTTTATATTATTTTGCATTATCTCCCATTTTATATATCGTTCTTATTTCAAGTTAACATTATCATGAGATGTGAAATTTCCCATTCATCAGTCTCTTGCTCACACTAACTACCACTTGGTGCACACAATATATGGACTTTCAAATAAACACTACCTACCCATGGTAATTTCATTGATCTAACTGCTTTACTGAAACTTTTTTACACTTACACACACCCTACTTGTCTGAATGTGCGTGGATGTTGTGCAAATCATAAGAGAGAGATGATTGTGGATGCTATGAATGAGAAGAAGCTGGATGTCCAGGCTTTAAGTGAAACAAAGCTGAAGGGGGTGGGAGAGTTTCAGTGGAGAGAAGCAAATGGGATTAGGTCAGGGGTTTCCAATAGTTAGAGCTAAAGGGTGAGTAGCAATAATGTTGAAGGATAAGCTATGGCAGGAAAAGACGGAGTATAAATGTACTAATTCAAGGATTATGTGGAGTAAAATAAAGGTTGGATGTGAAAAGTAGGTTACAGTAAGCGTATATGCACCTGGAGAAGAGAGAAGTATTGAGGAGAGAGAGAGGTTTTGGGAATTGTTGAGCGAGTGTGTGGGGAGTTTTGAACCAAGTGAGAGAATACTTGTGGTTACAGATCTCAATGCTAGAGTGGGTAAAAATGTTGTGGAGGGAGTAGTAGGTAAATCTGGGGTGCCAGGAGTAAATGAAAATGGGGAGCCTTTAATTGAGCTATGTGTAGAAAGAGGTTTGGTAATAAGTAATACATATTTTATGAAAAGGAGGATAAGTATACAAGGTATGATATAGCATGTAATGAAAGTAATTTGTTAATTATATTTTTTTTTTATTATTAATACACTGGCCGATTCCCACCAAGGCAGGGTGGCCCGAAAAAGAAAAACTTTCACCATCATTCACTCCATCACTGTCTTGCCAGAAGGGTGCTTTACACTACAGTTTTTAAACTGCACATTAACACCCCTCCTTCAGAGTGCAGGCACTGTACTTCCCATCTCCAGGACTCAGGTCCAGCCTGCCGGTTTCCCTGAATCCCTTCATAAATGTTACTTTGCTCACTCCAACAGCACGTCAAGTATTAAAAACCATTTGTCTCCATTCACTCCTATCAAACACGCTCACGCATGCCTGCTGGAAGTCCAAGCCCCTCGCACACAAAACCTCCTTTACCCCCTCCCTCCAACCTTTCCTAGGCCGACCCCTACCCCGCCTTCCTTCCACTACACTGATACACTCTTGAAGTCATTCTGTTTCGCTCCATTCTCTCTACATGTCCGAACCACCTCAACAACCCTT